TTTTTTGGTGAGGTTATGTGCGTAGTCTATCGATTTTGTTCTGAACTTTCTCGCAGTTCACAAAAGTTTGGCGTGAAAACTTTACGAAATTTAAATCGCATTAAATTTTTAACTACTTTTCCGAACAAATTTCTGAGCTGACTTTAAGCTAGCTAGATTTTCCCATATGTATATACCTACAGCTCCTTACCTGAGTCTAAAGAGCTCAAGGATGTAATTGAAATTTGAATTTTACCTATGTAATATATAATAAGCATATAAGCATATATGTATATTCCAAGCAGTGCGAATGAGCTAGTGAACTACAAATTTGAATTGCTGCGAGGTAGGTTTGGGACTGCTTCAAGTGTCTTGGAGGCCAAAGATGAACTAGTACATTGATCAAACAGCATATTCAAGAGTTACCTAAGCGTCAATTGAACTAGTTGATTGAACCAATATAACATTGAATACAAATTGGAATTGTTGCCTGGGCGTAAATGGAACTAGTTCATTGAATTACTATAAAATTGAATACAAATTGGAATTTTTGCCTGGAACTAGTTCCATAAATGAATATAACATTGAATACAAATTGGATTGGAAGCGTGTGTCTTCGAGTCACAAATGGAACTAGTTCATTGAATGACTATAACATTGAATACAAATTGGAATTGTTGTCTTGGCGTAAATGGAACTAGTTCATTGAATACAAATTAGAATTGAATCGATTCTCGTCGAGGTACACATGGAACTAGTTCATTGATCGAATATCGTGTTGAATACAATTTGTGTGCCCTAACGACCCAAATTGAACTAGTTCATTGGCTAGTTAGTGCTTATATGGCTTATTCGCGGAAGTAAAAAATGAACTAGTTCATTGATTGCATAAGACTTGAGAGATGTTCTATGTCCATTTGAATTTAACTCTCAGCAGATTCGTAGAATCATCTATAAATTATGAATTATAAAATATACTATATAAAAGTTGAGCAAATAGATATAGAGTCGATTCTGTAAGACCGCCTTAGCGAAAGTGTCGATAGCTATTCTCATGACTGGGTTAATTTCCTATATCTGCCACAGTGTGACCTCGCTATAAAGGACGCCTGCGACGACTGTCGCGCCTCGCCACACTTTGCGTGTGTTGAGCACAGAGCACACTTATTTGCTGTGCTCCAGCCAGACTTGCAATTAAAGATGAACTGGTTCCCTGGAGCTGAACCGAATTTGTAGCTGCCTGTGCGCTGGGCCGTAATTAAAATAATTAAATGCCAAAAAAAAAAAGAAAGTAATCACAAGATGGAAAAGTAATTTACACATGTAAGCAAACACCACGAATACACACGCACACGCACACACACACACACTCATGCATAGACACACGCATGCAGCTTATACAAATAGATGGATAAACAAAGCCCGCAGGATACGAGGAGCGCGCGTAGGCAAAAGCCGCGACGCGTCGTGTTCAAAGAAAAAAGCTCAGTGCAAGAAAATTGCCTAGGCAAATGGAAAAGTCAACATGACGACGTCGCCAGGATCAGCATGCGAAACGCATCAGCAGCGGATGCCAGAAAGGGGTTCTACCAGAGCAGGAGAGCGCGGGCCGGCTGGCTCGCCGGGGTCTGGGGGAAGGTGAGAGCTGAAAACGCAAATGATTTCTTGAACTGCGAATGGTCCGACTCTATGATGGATAGCGCCCAAAAAATTGGTGGTGTAACGCTTGCGAGGCGGCCGGGGGGAGAGAGCGAGGGAAGGCGTGGCAGAGACAGGCTGCGACGTCTGAGACAGTTGAAGGAAGACAGCTGAGAGCCTTACCAGCAGCTTGATGCTCTGCTCGCCCAGCCAATTAGCTAATTGAATGACATTGATAATGACGATATATAGACGTAAGTTGTGACTGTGAACAGTGCACGTGACTGTGACTAAAGAAATCTGGCATTAAAATCTGCATCAAACATCACTGTGTTTCCTTAAACTGTGACTATCACTGTGAATTTCGCAGTGCGGCCTATTCACATCTGATTTTTTCACAATAATCGCATTAGCTTTAGTGACTCATTCACTGTGACTTATTTAATGAATGAACTATAATATTTTCACTCTGACTTTTAATTTGTGAAACTTTCGCCTGTTACTATTCAAGCTATTCGTATTCCTTTCATTGTAATTGTGATTCTACATGTGTTAAACTGTGACTATCACTGTGACTCATTCACTCTGACTGATTCACTCTAGTCCTGTCACTGTGAATTTCGTAGTGTGAGCTTATTGACTTCTTCGCGTTGATATATTCGTATTGGCTTTTCATAGTGACTCATTCACAGTGACCTAACTATGAACTATAATCTATTCACTCTGATTTCGATACTTTCTCCTGTCCCAATTCACGCTATTCGTATTCCTTTTATATCAACTGTGACTCACTCACTCTAATCCCATCACTGTGAATTTCGCAGTGTGGCCAGTCACATTTGACTTTTTCGCAATGATCTATTCGCATTATCTTTTTATAGTGACTCATTCACTGTGACTTATTCAGTTAACTATGAACTGTAACTTATCGACTCTGATTTTCAAACTTTCTCCTGTTACTATTCACGCAATTCGTATTCCTTTCATTTCAACTGTGACTCTACATGTGTTAAGCTGTGACTCTACATGTGTTAAGCTGTGACTCTATCCACGGTGATTAATTCAGTCTAATTCACTGTAAATTCACTGTGAATTTTTCAGTATGTGCGATTCACATTTGACTTTTTCGCTTTGACCCATTTGCATGGAGTTTTCACAGTGACTCAT